GGTCATCTCACTGGTGTGGCAGTGCCGGACATCGGTGGCTGTCAGGCTGTACTGCCAGCCGCGGCAGCGCGAGCTGAGGCAGGCGACATTGCCTCCCTGGATGCGCGAAGGGGGAAGGGAATCCCATTTTCTAGCAAGGGAACTCGAGAACACAACACCTGGAAAATCGGGTAAACTTCCACCCCAGATACTGCGGCTGTAAGCGAACAGGCACACCAGAGATCAGTATCATATCCACACGCTGGCCCCGGACGGGTCCCAACCACCCACGAAGCCTCCCTCAGTTGGCTAGCACAGCAGGTCTGATCGAGCCGGCAAAAGGGCGGGGAAAAAAAAAAAAAAACTCTGCGATGGGGGAAAATTTTTTCAATATATTCATCTTAGAAACAAAAAAAAAAAAAATAATCTAGCTTTGACTCCACTGAGTACTGAAAGGGCGTGGATACACAAAAAAAAAAAAAAAAACACGAGCAATTACATTTAAAAGATAAAGTACCTTTTTAAATAAAAAAAAAAAAAAAATATCCTGTATCACAGATACTACAGATTAAAGATTCTATCCACAGCAGATACTTTCTGAGAGTTGCTACATGGGAATTCCAGAGGAACATTGTAATGTTTATATTCTAAAAAAAAAAAAAACACAGGTAATTCAATACATTGTGGAAACCCAAATAAGTCTTTCAAGTATTTAAAATAAATATTCCAACTTCATACCAAGATGAAAAGTGATTTCTGGTCAAGTTTTAAAAAAAAAAAAAATATATATGTAAAGAATTTTTCATAATAAGGCTTTACATACAATCATACGTAAGCCATGAGCTGTTACTTCCTGCTGATAGCTTTAAACTGCTTAAGCTTTACTTTCAAAAAAAAAAAAAAGGAGAAAGACTCTTCTGAGGCATATGAGAGACAGTCACCTTCTGGCAAAAAAAAAAAAAATTAACAGCCAAATTTTATCTAACTTAATGACAAAACCTATACTCAAAAAAAAAAAAAAAACAAATTTGCTTTTTTTTTTTTTTTTTGCCGAGATGGTGTCTTGCTCAAAAAAAAAAAAAAGAGTACAGTGGCGCGATCTCGGTTCACTGCAACCTCTGTCTCCCAGAAAAAAAAAAAAAACCTCCCTCAGCCTCCTGAGTAGCTGGGACTACAGACACCTGCCACCACAGCTGGCTAATTTTTGTATTTTTAGTAGAGATAGGGTTTCACCATGTTGGCCTGGCTGGTCTTGAACTCCTGACCTCATGATCTGCCCGCCTCGGACTCCCAAAGTGCTGGGATTACAGGTGTAAGCCACTATGCCCGGCCAAATGTATTATTTTCAAAAGAAAGGAATCATGGCTGGGCATGGTGGCTCACACCTGTAATCCTAGCACTTTGGGAAGCTGAAGTGAGCAGACTGCTTGAGTCCAGGAGTTCAAGACCAGCCTGAGCAACATGGTGAAATCCTGTCCCTGTCTCTACAAAAAAAAAAAAAAATTAGCTGAGAGTGGTGGTGCACCCTTGTAGTCCCAGCTACGCAGGAGGCTGAGATGGGAGGATAGCTTGAGTCTGGGAGGTGGAGGTGGCAGTGAGACTGAGATTGTGCCACTGCAGTCCAGCGCAGTCTGGGCAACAAACTGAGACCCCATCTCAAAAACAACAACAACAACAAAAAGCCATGATCTAAAACTACTAGGTATCAACAGATTAATCATCTAAAAGCAAAAAAAAAAAAAAATCCCTTTATACAAAAACCATCAATGGGCTGGGCGCAGTGGCTCACAAAAAAAAAAAAAACACTTTGAGAGGCTAAGACAGGTAGATCACTTGAGGTCAGGAATTCAAAAAAAAAAAAAACAACATGGTGAAACCCCGTCTCTACTAACACACAAAAATTAGCTGGAAAAAAAAAAAAAAACATGTAATCCCAGTTACTTGGAAGGCTGCAGCAGGATTATTGCTTAAAAAAAAAAAAAAGAGGTTGCAGTGAGCCGAGATTGCACCACTGCACTCTAGCCTGGGTGACAGAGCAAGATTCCCTCTCAAAAAAAAAGTCTTTGTAGATTTAAAGTTAATCACATAAAAAAAAAAAAAAAAGAAAAGTAAAACAGCCTAGTGTCCAGGTTGTCCTACAAACTACCAAAAAGAAAAGAAAATGCTAACACATACACATACTTTATGTGCTTAAATAACCATTTTATACAAAAAAAAAAAAAAAAAAAGGAAATATCTGACTAAATATCTGTGAACAGAAAAAAAAAATAAAAAAAAAAAAAATTAAGTGGTTAATGCTTTTTAAGTTTTTTAAATCAATATGGATTTCAAAAAAAAAAAAAAAAAGAACAAATGAAAAATGGCTTTTAAAGACATTGCCTGTACAGAAAAAAAAAAAAAAAAGTTTGCTGGTGTCAAATGTGGAATCCAATAGCATAGACACAAGGACAAAAAAAAAAAAAACTTCATAACAATGCTGAGTTTCTTAAAATATCCCAAGCAGAACCCAAAAAAAAAAAAAAAATAAAATCTAAATGGGAAAATTTTTTAAAGTACTATAAATTCTAAATCTGAATTTTGAGTAGCAAAAAAGGTAATAACATGCCACAAACACCGAAAGGCAACAGTTAGAGAAGTAACATTTACTTCACGCCAGGAAAATGCTCTGACCTAGCATTTTCCTACATCCAAAAAAAAAAAAAAACGTTGATCTGATCATGATCCCCATTTTACAGATGAAACGGGGGCCAAAAAAAAAAAAAAACCTTGTCATGGAGCCAGTCTGGCTCAAGTCTGTTTTTAAGCACTATACTTCTTTTTTTTTTTTTTTGAGAGTCTCGCTTTGTTGCCCAGGATGGAGTACAGTGGTGTGATCTCAGCTCACTGCAGCCTCTGCCTCCCAGGTTCAAGCAGTCCTTGTGCCTCGGCCTCCCAAGTAGCTGGGACTACAGGCGTGTGCCACTATGCCTGGGGCTTACTTGCTTCTTAAATAGAAAGTTACTCCACAGAGGCCAGGTGTGGTGGCTCACGCCTGTAATCCCAACACTTTGGAAGGCCAAGGTGGGCAATCACCTGAGGTCAGGAGTTCGAGACCAGCCTGGCTAACAGGAAAAAAAAAAAAAACTACTGAAATTACAAAAATTAAAATGCTGGGTGTGGTGGCAGGTGCCTGTAATCCCAGCTGAGGCAGGAGAATCGCTTTAATCCGGGAGGCAGAGGTTGCAGTGAGAAAAAAAAAAAAAACTGCATACTGGCCTAGACGACAAGAGCGAAACTCCGTTACTCCACAAAAAAAAAAAAAAAAATTAAATTTCAACATATAGCTGCCCCTTGAACAACATGGGTTTGAACTGCGAAGTTCATTTACACACAGATTTTTTCCAACCAAACTTGGATTGAAAATACAGTAAAAAAAAAAAAAAAAAAATCTGCTGATGCGCAAGGTAGAATTCTCCCATGCACGGGCTCCACAGGACTGAAGGAGTGTGTGCAGATTTGGGTGTACGTGGATGGTCCTGGAACCAATTTTAAAAAAAAAAAAAAAGACAAGTATGTCTACTTCCTACAGGAAGCAGGGAGTTCTCAAAAGAAAAAAAAAAAAAAACTGGGAATATCACATTTTAGTTAGAAACAGCATTTTATTTTTGAAAAAAAAAAAAAAAAACAATATTTTTAAAATGCAATCCATTGATGTCATCATATTTGGTTTGGAATACCTAAGAATACACTGACCGAAATGTCTGTTCTAAAAACAAACATTTTTTGATATAAAAAAAAAAAAAATTTAATGTATATGTAAGAGAACTTCACTTGAAAAATACAAATATACAAAAAAAAAAAAAATACCAAATTTTGAAGCTTAACGTATTCACTGCCAACGTATTGTACAAAAAAAAAAAAAAATTTAAATGTTTTCTAAACAGGGAGTGATGTGGATATCAACAACGGTTTCATCCTAAAACTGAGTTTTAGCATTTGTTTAGTATAGTTTACCTATTTAGTTAAAGCAAAAAAAAAAAAAAATTCACCCATTCCTTGTGGCTTATGTTTATTTTCATTTTTTTTAGAGAAAAAAAAAAAAAATGTTGTCCACGATGGATTCAAAATCCTGGGCTCAAGAGATCCTCCTAAAAAAAAAAAAAAAGCAGCTGGGACTATAGGTGTGCGCTGCCACACTCCACAGCTGATGTTTTAATAAAGTGCCACTGAGCATCAGACTGATCAGACTGAAAACATCCCAGAACTTCAGACCAGGTTAAGGGGGGCCAATGAGAAGATCATGAAAAGTGACATCAGATGAAAGCTGAGAAAAAAAAAAAAAAAAAACCAGTTTTTCCAAGTAGTCCACAGACAGTTTGATAGGATAAGCCCAGTTCTTTACATAACGTAGCAGTCATCATGTCTGAGTACTAATTGTTCTCTTCTCATTAAAAAAAAAAAAAATTGCTGTTCTGTTACTTTTTAAAGATTCTAACAAGTTTTTGATGCTAAAAAAAAAAAAAACTTTTCTTTTCTTCTTGGTTACGGACCTTCTGTTTGGAACAGATGGAAAAAAAAAAAAAACCAGCCCCCAGGGCTGATGACTTGATACGGAAAGTCGGTCTGTATCAAAAAAAAAAAAAATCCAGGCACTTTCTTGGGCCAAATCTACAAATTTTTGCAGCTGGCTTTGACTTACATTTTTGCTTATGTTGAGAGAAGTTTCAAATGGATTCTGAATGTACAGAGGAGAAGAGTCAGGTTTGTTTTGCTCCCTTCCCTATAGATCATTACACAGAAGAAAAAATGAAAAAAAAAAAAAAAAGGGCTTAAACATAAAAACCGTTAACTCAATAAAATGTCAAAACATAAAAAAAAAAAAAATTAACTTTACACAGTAAAGAATTTCTTTTTCAGGGGACTGAGTATGTATGCATGCTGGGTGTGTGTACTTCTCATTTTTTGTGGTTTTATTTTCCCAGTTGTAGTTTTATGAGTGTTCTTTGGAGAAATAACTTAGGCTTATCATCTATGGATGATGATGTCATTGCTCAGAGAAGAGGTATCTGGACTAAGTCAACTGACAAAAGCATTTTTAAAATAGTATAACAAAAAAAAAAAAAAGTAGAGCATGAAAAGAGAAAAAAATGATTAAAAATGTCAGAAAGTAAAAAAAAAAAAAAATTATTTCTGAGACTTGCTAAAAGCATACCTATTATGGTAGAAAAAGAAACACACAAAATTAGAAACCTTAAATTAAATATATTAATTAATGTTTCCCAAGTATGAGATGAGGAAAAAAGAGCAGGAACAAAGGATTATTCATTATTTATTTAAAACACTAAAAAGTTTCCATTATCTTCCTAGAGATCCAACAACAGGGCTCTGCCACATAAGATAGTATCTCACAGAAATAAAAAAGACACCTGTAATCCAAGCATTTTGGAGGCCGAGGGAGGCAGGTGGAACACCTGAGGTCAGTAGTTCAAGACAGGCCTGACCAACATGGTGAAATCCCATTTCTACTAAAAATACAAACTTAGCCACGTGTGGTGGCGCGTGCCTGTAATCCCAGCTACTTACGAGGCTGAAAAAAAAAAAAAACTTGAACCCAGGAAGCAGAGGCTGCAGTGAGCCAAGATCGTGCCACAAAAAAAAAAAAAAGGCAATGGAGTGAGACTCTGCCTCAAAAAAAAAAAAAAAAAAAAAAAAAAAAAAAAAAAAAAGAAAAGCTAAAGCTATGAATCATATGACCAATATAAGTCATTAGAAAAAAAAAAAAAACCTCTTTCAAATGATACCATAAATATTACTTAATTAACTATTACAAAAAAAAAAAAAAAAATTCCCCAATGTGAGCAGCAACTATTTATTCCCTAACTTATTTCATGCTTAGTATCTCTGAGCTTTGGAGTACAAAAAGGGTGACAAACTTTGTATGCTGATGACTAAAAAAAAAAAAAATGCATTTGCAAAGCTTTCTGAATGAATCCTTTCTCCTCTCCCCAGTAAAAAAAAAAAAAAGAGTCCATGAGCAGGGTAAGAGGGAAGGATGAAAAGAGAGGTGAAGAAAAAAAAAAAAAATGTATCTGGGTTTGTGTTTTATGAAGCCAGTCTTGTAAGATTTGTAAAAAAAAAAAAAAATGCTAAACAAAATAAACCCAAACAGAGGGCTATGCCAAGTTATCTCCCACTTGTAAACAAATTTTGTCTAGGCTTCTGCCTGAGTTTCTTTTTTAAAAGAAAAAATAAAAAAAAAAAAAAGTGCTCAGAAGAATCCAAATCATAAGTTCATTTGCTCTAAAAAAAAAAAAAAAAAAAAAATCCTAAGGGCTCAAATTGAGGGAATCACTGAAATCTATCTTTGGGACTTAAATTTATTCCATAGACACAAATCCAGTTTAAAAACAGCTGTATGTAAATAATATTTAAAAAAAAAAAAAATGGAATGTATTCCATATTGTGAGGGAAACAGTATTACACTAAGTGAGGACAGAAGTCCCATGGCATAATAAGAAGGCAGATGCTAAAGAGCTAGCTTTTGCTCTTTGGCATAAAGGGATGACTGATCTTAGTCAAGCCATGTAACTTCTCTGGACATCAACCTCCTAAAAAAAAAAAAAAACTATAGAAAAGAAATAAAATAACATTCATTAGAGTGTTTTGAAAAAAAAAAAAAAAAAATTACTACGGTGGAAGACCAGATACTAATAACTAGTGAAACATTATTAAAAAAAAAAAAAATTATGGAATTTTTATTGAAAGCAAAATTGCCGAAGTACTCAAAAAAAAAAAAAAAAAAAAATTCTGTAAGAAAATAAAACAAGGACAATCAGAGGAAAGCCTATTTCAATCCAAAAAGGATCAAGTAAACAGAAAGACACTTACCTAATGTTTCTGTATTCCCTGAAAAAAAAAAAAAAATCAAGTCACGAACAAATGTGCAGTTGTTGCCTTCTATTATACATTTAAAAAAAAAAAAAAAAACACAAACAAAAAACATTTCACATATTTCCCTTTTTTTTTTTGCAAAAAAAAAAAAAATGCTCTGTCATCTAGGCTGGAGTACAGTGGTATGATCTCAGCTCACAAAAAAAAAAAAAACCCGGGTTCCAGCAATTCTCCTGCCTCAGCCTCCCGGGTAGCTGGGAAAAAAAAAAAAAACCCCCACGCCCAGCTCATTTTTGTATTTTTAATAGGGATGGGGTTTAAAAAAAAAAAAAAGGCTGGTCTTGAACTCCTGACCTCAGGTGATCCACCCACCTCATCTAAAAAAAAAAAAAAATTACAGGCATGAGCCATGCGCCTGGCCTATTTCACATATTTCAAAAAAAAAAAAAAAAACAGAATAAAAATCTATGATTTAAATAAATTTAAGACCGGGCGCAGTAAAAAAAAAAAAAAATCCCAGCACTTTGGGAGGTTGAGGCGGGCAGATCACCTGAGGTCAAAAAAAAAAAAAAAGCATGGTCAACATGGTGAAAAACCCCGTCTCTACTAAAAATACAAAAATTAGCCAGGTATGGTGGCATGCTCCTGTAATCCTAGCTACTGAAGAGGCTCAGGCACGAGAATCTCTTGAACCCAGGAGGCGGAGGTTGCAATGAGCTGAGATCACACCACTGCACTAAAAAAAAAAAAAAAGAGCAAGACTCCATCTCAAAAAACAAAACAAAACAAATAAATGTAAAAAAAAAAAAAAAATATTCTTTATTTAAATCATAGATTTTATGAATGATTAAATAATTACAAAAAAAAAAAAAAATAATGATTTAATCTATAATTTCTTGTCTATGATTTAATGATATTAAAAAAAAAAAAAAATAACTGATCTCAAATCTTTTTATCTTCTTTTAATTAAGTTAAATTAAAAAAAAAAAAAAAACTAGTTATGCCACAGTGAAATTAACATTACATTTAATTTAGCAATAAAAAAAAAAAAAATTTCAACAACCCAATGATTCCTAATCAATTTTTGAGGTAATCAGTTAAAAAAAAAAAAAAGAAAATATAGGGAGTTTCCCCATCTTTCACCAAACCAAATTTCAGCAAAAAAAAAAAAAAATACTTCATTTACATACCCAATTCCATTCTTACCATTTTCATACATGACACAAACTGAATGCTAACAAAAAAAGCTTCAGGTAATTTCTAAAATGTAGCACTCTAGAAAAAAAAAAAAAAAGTAATTAAGCAAAACGAACTCAATGACAGCACATTAGACTCAGGCAAAAAAAAAAAAAACTAGTATTTATACCTTTAGAGGTAATCATTTTCATAAATATACAACCACCATGAAATCCCTGGCCCACACTATCTGCAATAGATAATATGTTGTTTACAAGAGCAAAAAAAAAAAAAAAAGAAATCTCATGAATGGCTACTTCTTATCTGAAAGCATTTCATAATTAAAAAAAAAAAAAACATCCTTTTTGTTCCATTCACCATCTGACTTATCTGACTGCATTCTGACTGTCTGTATGCTGTCCACTCCTCTGCCCCAGTCTGGAACTACAAAGGCCACTATCCTAAAAAAAAAAAAAAAACTCCCCACCACCGACCTGCCCGCAACGAGCATCTAGCATATAGCAAAAAAAAAAAAAATAATCTGAATGATTGCTGATATTTTATTTTTTATTTTAATTTTTTTAAAAAAAAAAAAAAGGCTCTGTCACCCAGGCTGAAGTGCAGTGGCGTGATCTTGGCTTACTACAACCTCCGCCTCCCAGGTTCAAGTGATTCTCCTGCCCCAGCCTCCTAAGTAGCCAGAACTACAGGCAAGCACCACCACGCCCGGCTAATTTTTATATTTTTAGTAGAGACAGGGTTTAAAAAAAAAAAAAAGGCTAGTCTCAAACTCCTGACCTTAAGTGATCCACCCACCTTGGCCAAAAAAAAAAAAAAGATTACAGGCGTGAGCCACCGTGCCCAGCCCTGATATTTGATTTCAAAAAAAAAAAAAAACCAGAGAGATAAATAAGCCTCCTATAAATTTGTCTCCCATTTTTTGAAAAAAAAAAAAAATTTTTTGTCAAGCCCTGGTTACTTGCATAATTTCTCAAAAATTAGTAAAAAAAAAAAAAATTTAATAGCACATTTTATGTGCTCTACTATACAATTTATAATATGTAAAAAAAAAAAAAAAAAATGTGTGTGTGTGTGTGTGTGTGTGTGTATATATATATTTCTAAAAAAAAAAAAAAATAAGGAACCTAGGCACATGTTTTACTACTTCAAGTAATTAACAGTTAAAAAAAAAAAAAACGCAGTGTCACGTCACATATATTGATGCTCTTTTAGCTGCTGTGTCAAAAAAAAAAAAAAAATCTTCAATGAAAGCACTAAGCACAGAAGTAAATGTAACAAAAGTAGCAAAGTCAGAAAGCATGGAAAACACAAGAAAAAGAAATGTATGAGAAAACACAGTGGCGATTTTAAGAAAACACAAAGAAACAGGGCAATTCAAGAGGAACCAAATATGAAAGTTAACAAAAAAAAAAAAAATGCCCAGTACAAACAGCCCTCAACTTTAAAATGTTATCCAATCATTAAAAAAAAAAAAAAGTGAACTCTTACTATGAACCCAATACTATGCCAGGAACAGAAGACGAAAAAAAAAAAAAAAGACAGCCAGCCCTAGAAAAGCTTGACAACGCTGAGGCAGGCAGATAAAAGAACTACAACAATCTAACAGTTGTTACAATACAGGTGTGTACCACAGGCTTGGAAAAAAAAAAAAAAAAACCCACTGGGAGGCAGAGGACGGCGAGAAAAGACCTGACAAATGAGATCCTGTACTGGGTTTGTCTGTCTTTTCTGGCTTAATCTTGAGATTCTCCATAAAAAAAAAAAAAAAAAAAAAAAGGGAGGCTGGGAGAAGGCCATTTCAGGCAAAAGCATGGAGCAATGAAAAAAAGCACAAAACATCAAGCATCATCAAGGAGTTCAAGATTGGCTAACACTTCCCACTAAAAAAAAAAAAAAAACCTAAGAGAAGAGGATGAAAAGGAAGCTGATAAACGGCCCTGCAAAAAAAAAAAAAAAGTTTAGTCTTTATCTTAGCTTAGGTTCTAAACAGTAGTTTACAAAGAAAAAAAAAAAAAAGAAGGTATTCTAGGAATTCATGCTGCCTTCTATTAATAAACAAGCAAAAAAAAAAAAAAAATATTGTTTTCTTTTAAAAAAGAACAAATTGATACTTTATTTGTATAAAAAAAAAAAAAAACAGCTTAGAAGAAATGAAATGATTGTACACAAGATTCAAGTCACTAAAAAAAAAAAAAACCGAGACTCAAGATGGTTTTGATTGTTTCACAGTTTAAAATTATTTAAAAAAAAAAAAAAAACGTCCACCAATGTTGAACTACTGGTCAAAATTAGAAAGTATAAAAAAAAAAAAAAAAAGGGAAAAAAAAAAGGATAAGGAAAATGTTGATAAATTCTCCTCAAAATGATCTTCACCCAATTCTTAATATTCATTAATCTAAGACAAGTTATTTTATAGCAACTTAAAAAAAAAAAAAAGACGGAAGGCAAAAAATGTATCAAATTTTGCTTGGCATTTATCGGCAAAAAAAAAAAAAAAATGTGCTATATGCCGAGACGCAACTGTAAAAACTAGCCTGAAAAAAAAAAAAAAAAAAATTAAAAACTACTGCAAAAATTTAAAAACAATCAAATTTGATGTTTCAAGTGAAATGTTAAAGAATTCCAAGCTAGTTTTGCCTGTTTTGATGCTATAAGATGTGAAAAAAAAAAAAAAAATTTTAAAGTAGATTTGGAATTAAAAACTCAACAGGTCATTTAAAATAAAAAAAAAAAAAATATTCTTCTCCTAAAATAATTAGTGGAGGCTAGGCATGGTGGCTCACACCTATAATCCCAGCACTTTGGGAGGCCAAGAAGGACTGCTTGAGCCTAGGAGTTTGAGACCACCCTGGGCAATACAGTGAGACCCCATGTCTACAAAAAGTTTTTTAAAAGATTAGCTGAGTGAGTGGTGGCACAAGCCTGTATATCGCAGCTATTGAGGAGGCTGAGGTGGGAGGATGCCTGGGAGGCAGAGGCTGCAGTGGGCCAAGATTGCACCACTGCACTCCAGCCTGCCTACAAAGTAGAGCACAGTGGCTCATGCCTGTAATCCCAACACTTTGGGAGATCAAGGTGGGAGAAAAAAAAAAAAAAAGTTCAAGACCAGTCTGGGAAACATGGCAAGACCCCATTTCACAAAAAAAAAAAAAAAAAGTCAGGTATGGTGGTGCATGCCTATAGTCCCAGCTACTCAGTACGCTGAAGTGAGATTACCTGAGCCTGGGAGGTCAAGGTTATAGTGAGCTGAGATTGTGCCACTGTAATCCAGCCTGGGCAACCGTGTAAGACCCTTTCTTAAAATAAACAAATAAATAATAAACAAAATTTTAAAAAATTAGTGGACATTTTAAAAAAAGATAATAGAAAGTTACTGAAGGACTGCAAAAAAGAATAATACTATCATATGTATTTGTGAAAATCACTCTCTTAACTAAGAATAAAAAAAAAAAAAAAAAACTGGAGATAAGGGAGAAAGACAATATAAGTCTTCACAGGCAGAAAAAAAAAAAAAAATGACATGGGCAGGGGGTACCAGTACTTGTAAGACTGAAGGGAGCAATCAAGATGTTTAGGAGTAGTCTATACCAAGTTCAACTTTCTTCCACTCCTCCTTTTATAGAAAAAAAAAAAAAACAGTTACTGAACTCCAAAAGTTCCGTGATTTTCCCCATGATGGTTTCTATGAGAGTAGCATTAAGCATCACTGCACACAGCAGGAGTGGAAAAGGAAGTGCTACTTAAAAAAAAAAAAAAGGTGAAGATCTGCCCCATATCTTATGTATCGCTTACCTCTCCACTAAAAAAAAAAAAAAATGGGAACACTGTTCATATCCCCACTGCTCCAATAACACCTGATGCAAAAAAAAAAAAAAATAAATACTGAATGACACTAAGGGATGAAATGAGCACAGATACTGATGCTGCCCTTTATTTTAATCTCAAAAGTGAGATAAGTGACCACCACTCTACCCCACTGAAAAAAAAAAAAAAAAATTAACCTATCAAATCTAGCTTTATTTTATTTTATTTCATTTTATTTAAAAAAAAAAAAAAAGTCAAGTGAAGCAGTGGGAGTGGAGAAGAAACACAGAAATTTGTAACTGGCTGTGATCAATTAGTTGTAAACACAAATCAAGCTTTTTTTGAGGTCAATTTCAAAAAAAAAAAAAAAAAACGGTGCTGACAGGAAGAGATCACTTCTAATATGGATAAGGGAAGGAAAAAAAAAAAAAATAATTTAGACCGAGAGAAGAGAAAGCAGATTTCAGGCAGAAAAACAAAAAAAAAAAAAAACTAAGATGAAATGTTCCAAGGGTAATCACAGCACTGGCTGGAATGTAAAAAAAAAAAAAAGGAGTAGAGAAGAGGATGGAAACTGGGCCGTGTCTAGAGATTTTAAAAAAAAAAAAAAAAAAATACTTTGCCTTTTAAGGTCATTTTAAACAGGAAGATTCAAGAAAAAAAAAAAAAAAATTATCAGGCAGCAATTACATAAGATGGGTAGAAGACACAGTATGCAAAAAAAAAAAAAAACCCCTTAATTACCTTCCCTTTAGCGTTTACAATTGCAAGATTTTATAAAAAAAAAAAAAAAGCAGGCCTCAGCGAGGCTGAGGCACAAGAATCGCTTGAACCTGGGAGGCATTTATAAAATCATTTATAATACCAACGATATAGTATGTCAAATTTAAAATAATGCACCTAAGACTGCTTATAAGCTTTTCATTAAAAACACATTTAGAATCTTTGAAACATCATGAAACAGTTTTAGTATCTCTAATACAACTCTAAACATAAGTTCCAATTTGAAAGTCATCTCAAAAAAAAAAAAAAAATCAAAAGTTGTATCTGAACAAGCTGTATCTGAAAAAGGTCATTCAAAAAAAAAAAAAATAGGGGGGAAGCTCCAGCTATCACACAACTGCTGTAAACAACCTTGAAAAAAAAAAAAAAGAAAACAGAACTCTCAAAAAATTTACCTAAAGGTATATAAATTTAGAAAAAAAAAAAAAAAGGTATATAAATAAAGCTTAAAAAGCTAGCTAAAGGCCCTGGCTTCCCAAATCATCTGTTCTTACGACTCCGGTAGGCTTTAAAAAATAACAATAATAATAATAATAAAAAAAAAAAAAACATAAGGCTTTGAAAGTCAAGACAAATTTTATGACTAATAAACAAAAAAAAAAAAAAAAAGTAACACATGGTAATTATATTTACTCATAACATCGGAAAAAGAAAAAAAAAAAAAAAAAATCTAGTCTTACCTGCTAGGGTTTTTAAGGAATCTAGTGTTGGAAGAATAGGGGGTGATCTTCTCTGGAGAAAAAAGATGACCATCATTGTAAGGGAGAAATTTGTAATCCATGCACCAGGAATACTACTTGTTAGCGAATGTGCTCGAGCCCAGCATCGTATACCGAACACCAAGGCTCTCACTCTTGAGTCTAGGGTACCATATATATAAAGGAGTTCAGAACTTAAAAAAAAAAAAAATCAAAACATAAAAATAAGAAAAATTTTCAAATCCCCAAATTATAAACCAAGGGTAAAATTAAACATATACCAAGAAACATATCTAAATATCCTACTATATCTGAATGTATCAGAACATGATTAATCAAAAGCATTATGAATTTGCAATATAAAATTTAATATGAATAAAAAAAAAAAAAATACATTCATTCCCATTAAAACATCCTCTTAAAATTGATAATTAAAATGTAAGCTGGGCGCAGTGGCTCATGCCTGTAATCCCAGCACTTTGGGAGGCCGAGGTGGGAAAAAAAAAAAAAACCAGGAGTTCAAGACCAGGAGTTCAAGACCAACAGGTGAAACCCCTAAAAAAAAAAAAAAACAGTAATTCAGCTGGGCGTGGTGGTGTGCCACTGTAATCCCAGCTAAAAAAAAAAAAAAGGCATGAGAATTGCTTGAACCCAGGGGGCAGAGGTTGCAGTGAGCCAAGATCAAGCCACTGTACTCCAGCCTGGGAGACAGAGCAAGACTTTGTTTCAAAAAACAAAAAAAAGAAAATGTGGATCTAGGGCCAGGCGTAGTGGCTCATGCCTGTAATCCCAGCACTTTGGAAGGCCAAGGCAGGCGGATCACCTGAGGTCAGGGGTCGAGACCAGCCTGGCCAACACGGTGAAATCCCGCCTCAAACAAAAATACAAAAATTAGCTAGGCGTGGTGGCACACGCCTAAAAAAAAAAAAAATTGGCGGGCTGAGGCAGGAGAGTCACTTGAACCCGGGAGGAAGAGGAAAAAAAAAAAAAAGATAGCGTTATTGCACTCCAGCCTGGGTAACAGAGCAAGACCCTGCAAAAAAAAAAAAAAAAAAAAGAAAGAAAGAAAATGTAGATCTAGAACTTACAATTTTTATAAAAAAAAAAAAAATTTTTTTTTTTTTGAGACGGAGTCTCGCTCTGTCACCCAGGCTAGAAAAAAAAAAAAAAATCTTGGCTTACTGCAAACTCTGCCTCCAGGGTTCAAGCCATTCTCCAAAAAAAAAAAAAAGAGTAGCTGGAACTACAGGCACCCGCCACCATGCCCAGCTAATTTTAAAAAAAAAAAAAAACAGACAGGATTTCACCGTGTTAGCCAGGATAGTCTCAATCTCCTGACCTCGTGAGCCACCCGCCTCGGCCTCCCAAAATGCTGGAATTATGGACGTGAGCCACCGCGCCCGGCCTAGAACTTAGAATTTTTAAATCAAAGTTTCTAAACATGATTTAAATAATAAAAAAAAAAAAAAAAGGCTCTTTATACTTATTAGTAAATAGCTGGGCACAGTAGCTGACACCTGCGATCTCAGAACTTTGGGAAGCTGAGGTGGGCAGATGGCTTGAGCCAAGGAGTTCAAGACCAGCCTGGGAAACATGACAAGACCCTGTCTCTACAAAAAATAAAAAAGTTAGCTGGGTGTGGTGTCACACATCTGTAGGCCCAGCTACCTGGGAGGCTGAGTTGGGAGGACCACCTGAAAAAAAAAAAAAAGACGCTGCAGTGTACCAAAATTAAGCCACTGGACTTCAGTCTCGGCAAAAAAAAAAAAAATCATCTCAAACATACATACATACATACATACATATATATATATATAAAAAAAAAAAAAAAAAGACAAAAAGGCATTTATTGGCTGGGCACTGTGGCTCACGCCTGTAAAAAAAAAAAAAAAAAGCAGGAGGATGGCTTGAGCCCAGGAGTTCGAGACCACCCTGGGAAAAAAAAAAAAAACCTGTCTCTATAAAAATAAAAAATATATATATAAAAGAAAAACAAAAAAAAAAAAAAAAAATTAAAAAAAACAGGCGTGGTGGCATGCACCTGTAATCCTAGCTACATGGGAGGCTGAGAAAGGAGGATTGTTTGAGCCCAAGAGTTCGAGGCTACAGTGAGCTATGATCACACCACTGCACTTCAGCCTGGGCAACAGAGTGAGACACTCTCTCTAAAAAAGTAAAAAAAAAAAAAAAATAAATTAAAAATATTAAGTTCCTACTGATCAAAACGTGTCTTGTAATTTCTCCAAGAACCAACACATGGTATAAAAAATAAGTTAACAGCGTCAAGTTAAAACTGTAAAAAAAAAAAAAATTACATCCTGAGTTTAAAAAGAATAGAAGAAAAAAGGCCAGGCATGGTGGCTCACGCCTGTAATCCAGCACTTGGGAGGCCGAGGTGGGCGGATCACCTGAGGTCTGGAGTTCAAGACCAGCCTGGCCAACATGATGAAACCCTGTCTCTACAAAAATACACCAGCATGATCGCATGTGCCTGTAATCCCAGCTTGGGAGACTGAGGCAGGAGAATTGTTTGAACCAAAAAAAAAAAAAATGCATGGCAGTGAGCCAAGATCCTGGCACTGCACCCTAGCCTTTGCAAAAAAAAAAAAAAATGTCTCAAAAAAAAAAAAAAGAAGAAACAGCAACTTAGAAATTCAAAAAAAAAAAAAAATTTATGTATGAAAATGAAGCTAAATTAAGCTAAAAATAAATATCAAAAAGTATAAGGTATCTGATATAAAGAAAATAACATAATTAGAAAGATAAATGCCATTTTGAAAAAAAAAAAAAACTATAAAGAAAATATAATAATGATAGAAAGTACAGTATTATATTTTAAAAAAAAAAAAAAGCAAGAAATCACAGACTTTATACTCCATGAGTTTTACTTGAGAGAAAAAAAAAAAAAAAAAGGATTGCTTTGTTGGTGAAGATTCGAGTTTAACCAAAACTGCTCTAAAAAAAAAAAAAAGAATCTATTTTCAGTAATGATTATTTATCTAACAAATAACATAGTGAAAATGAACTCATGCAATGAGAAGTTAAGAAATAAACTTCTCAATTAAGAAACTTTCCCTAAAAAAAAAAAAAATCAGTGGCTCACGGCTATAATCCCAGCACTCTAGAAGGCCAAGGCAAAAAAAAAAAAAAATCAGGAGTTGGAGACCAGCCTGGCCAACAGGGTGAAACCGCACAAGAATCACTTGAACCCGGGAGGTGGAGGTTGCAGTGAGCCAAGATTATGAGCCACACTGCACTCCAGCCTAGACAACAGAGCAAGACTCTGTCTCAATAGCAATAATAATAAAAAAATGAAAAAAAAAAAAAAAAACTGTTGTGAGTCCAGGAAAGTCATCAGTACAAAAGAACTTATTCCCAAAAAAAAAAAAAAAGCAAACAAATCACTAGGATAATACAATACATATACGATGAACAAAAAAAAAAAAAAAAAAAGCTCTTCCAACCACTTGTGGACCTAAGTAAAGAGGACATATGTCAAAAAAAAAAAAAAGACTATATATCTGGAGGCAATTCAAAGGTCAACTTCAAGTTGTTCTTTTATTTTCTAAGTATTCTTAGAAGACTTGTACTATAAATAGGCGTCTTTCTTTCTTATTAAAAAAAAAAAAAATTTCGCCATCAGAAATTTCTTCTAAAAAGCAGGCATCTTTCACACTACACACTACCAGTCTCCACAAGTAAGAATAATGAAATACATTTCTTCTCAGAGGTTAGATACGTGAACATTTTAACACAATATCCTAGCACTGTTTAGGAACACCAAATTATCAACAGGTAAAAAAAAAAAAAATTTTTACTTTTCAATCCAAGTGTTCAAATTTTTAAAAAATTGTTATTCAAGCATGTTTAAGATTACAAAGCCACTGTTTCTGTATGAGAAAAACCAAGCTATTACAAAAAAAAAAAAAAATTTAAAATAATAAACGTTAGAGATCATACCTATTGTTCGTAGTCAAAAAAAAAAAAAAAACAGAGGCCTGGTGTGAGAACCTCACGAGTGGACACCGAGCATTTAAAAAAAAAAAAAAAACCACACAACCAGGGCCGAAGTGGTCAAGGCACTCTCCTATCACAGAAAAAAAAAAAAAAATTGCAATTCTTTCTGAAGGAACATTTTTCACTTGAAATTCCGTCAGAAAAAAAAAAAAAATCTGAAAAATAAACACATTTCTAAATAGGAGCTTTTGGTAAAAAACAATTTTTAAATAACCTTTTGTAAAAGGATGCTCTAAATCATTGCTGGCAAAGCAAAACAAAAAAAAAAAAAAAAAACTCACAAAACAAAAACGCTTCAAGAAATCACAGCCCAAAGCAAAAAAAAAAAAAAAAAAGTTGCCTTTTGTTTCTCCAGAATATAGAGAAATACGAAGCACTAACTTGAACAATCACTGGTTTTTGTAATTAACTTATGAACCACAGTATATGAATCATAAAGTAAAAAAAAAAAAAACATTCACTCTATAAATTCAGTAAACATATACTTGCCCCTTCCTAGTAAAAAAAAAAAAAATAATCTATGCTATAAACCCACAGTAGTAAGTAAGTACAGGCACAAGAATAGCGTATCAGTAGAAGAAAAGAGACTAGGCAGTATGAATAGGCTTGTATATAGGAATAAAAAAAAAAAAAATGCAAATTACTAGGTGAAAATTCCTCTTCAACAAATAAGTTAAGTGAAAAAAAAAAAAAATAAACCAGATGCTTTAATACTAAAACTTGCCGGGTGCAATGGCTCACGCCTGTAACCCTAGCACTTTGGGTGGCCAAGATGGGTGGATCACTTGAGGTCAGGAATTCAAAACCAGCCTGGCCAACATGGTGAAACCCCGTCCCTATTAAAAACACAAAAAAAAATTAAAAAAAAAAAAAAGCGGACACCTATAATCCCAGCTACTTGGGAGGCTGAGACAGGAGAAAAAAAAAAAAAAAAGAAGTGGAGGTTGCAATGAGCCAAGATCATACCACTGCACTCCAGCAAAAAAAAAAAAAAAAGACTCCATTTCAAAAATAAATAAATAAATAAATAAATAAATTACAAAAAAAAAAAAAAATTCACTGAGCATGGTGGCTCACGCGTGCAATCCCAGCACTTTGGGAAAAAAAAAAAAAAAGATAACTTGAGGTCAGGAGTTCAAGACCAGCCTGGCCAACATGGTGAAACTCTGTCTCTACT